AAAAAAAAAAAAAAAAAAAAGAAAATATTGGTTGTTCATGTCACTAAAAACATACTAATATTTGGTTTTTTAATTTTTTTTTGTTTGGGGGCTTAAAAGTATTAGTGTCTCACAAACATTCAAGGGAAATTACATTTTTTTAATTTAATATTGTCGATTTATAGCAAACAGAACATCATGGTAACTATAAAAAAAACAAATAAAATACTATAGTAAACCTTCAAAAATGTGGAAAACAAAGGCTTAGAAATTTTCCTCACACTATGGAAGCATTACTAGAAGATAAAGTGAGTCAGTATAAAATCCAACAACTGCGTCTTCCACACTGGACTGTGGGTGATGAGGAAACAAGTCCATGTTTTCATATTTGTGGCCACTAAGGGTGCATCATGTGAACCCACACAGGGAATGGAAGAGCACACTCAAAAACAGGGTTTTCAAAAGTAGTAATTTGCTATGTCTGTGGATTTGAGGGAGGGGGATTATTAATACATAAAGTATTTAATGTGGTAAAAAACACACCAAATGCTTCTATATAATCTCTTTTAATTTCCAAAATTAGCCCATATTTTTTCTTTAAATTATTTTTCACAAATGTGAAATTATAGGACAAGGTCATTTTAAACATATAAATAAGTAAATATTGAGACATGATTAAAGTACTTCATAAAGTTATATTAAGGTTAAATTAAATGAAGGTTTTTCTGTCACAAGCAATTACTAGGAGATAAGACTAATGCAATCAACATCAACAAATCGAAAGTGAAAGAAAAGAAAGGGAGAGCACATTTTCTTCCTGTGGACAAGTCAACACTTTCTATACAGTATCTTTTCCATTCTCTGTGTCTTGAGTGGTCCTATTTTTTTTTTTTTTTTTTGAGACAGTATCTTGCTCTGTCACCCAGGCTGGAATACAGTGGCATCAACAGAGCTCACAGTAACCTCAAACTTTTGGACTGGAGTAAACCTCCTGCCTCAGCCTCTTGAAAGCTGGAACCACAGGCATGCACCACCACACCTGGCTGGAGGTCTGGAGGACTGTCATTCATTCATTCATTGAGACAGAGACTCACTCTGTTCCCCTGGGGAAAGTGCTGTGGCTTTGTAGCTGACAGCAACCTCAAACTCTTGGGCTTAAGCAATCCTTTTGCCTCAGCCTCTGGAATAGCTGGGACTATAGGAACCAGCCACAGTGCCCAGCTCCTTTTTCTATTTTTAGTAGAGACAGGGTCTCACTCTTGCTCAGCCTGATCTTAAACTCCTGTGCTCAGGAAAGCCACCTACCTTGCCCTCCCAGAGTGCTAGGATTACACGTGTGAGCCACCATGCCTGGCCTGAGAATTGTCATTTATATGCAGGAAGGACAAGAGGGAGGGGGCGTTTAAGTGGAAGGTGGAACCATGATGGGGAAAGTGTGTTTCATAATATGGGAAAGTGTGTTCCACAGAAAGAAAAATAGAAAAGGAACTGAGAAAAGTAGCCAGAGGCAGCCTGGCTAGAAAGCAGTTAAGAGGAGAGTGCGGGGGTATCATTTAGGCTTAGGCCACGGCATCTACCTTCCTACAGCTGTGGATTTCATTCTGAGCTGGTGGAAGTCACAGGAAGATTTATGCATAAAAGTAGTAAAGTCTAACTTATGTCTTACAATGATCACATTAAAGCCCACTTAGTGAATTAGGTTTGCACTAAGAGAAATAATGTAAGCAGGTAGACCAGGAGTCCTGAAAAGACTTGCCAGCGTGTTTGAATCAGATGTTAAGGTGATGAGAAATAGCCAAGCTTAGGGTCTGCTTTGATGATGGAACTCACAGAAAGAACTGACAAATGTGAAGTGTGAGAGAAAGCTAGGAACTAAGGATGTGCGGGACAGGGTCACAGGGCGAGCTTGAGCCTCCAGGGTTGGCTTGCGGCTGACCTCTCGGAACTTGTCTTTCAAACATTTCCATTGATCAAGCTGTTTCACCTGCTTTCCTTCAGGGAGCTGTGCTGGTCAGTGTGCCTAAGTGACCAGCTCTCACCAAAAACCTTGCTCTCTGAGTGTCAAGTGGGCTTCGTTGGGTAGGATACACATGCGTCGCTGCACTTTAACGTTGGGTAGGATACACATGCCTCGCTGCACTTCTCCTGCATACAGTGCCGCTGTCTTCAGTTAAAGCACATACAGTGGGTGCCAAATACTTACACACAGACACATTTTACAGAAGGAAGAAACTGCATTAAACTTTAATACTCAAGTCACATTTGACTTCTACAATTATAAGAGGTGCTCAACGCGACTTGCATCATCTTTTGTTATTGGAATATATTGAGTATTACAATCTTAATATACTTTCTTAAAATACATAATTTGGGGGGCACTCTTTGTATATGTTCATATTCTTGCTTTCACATCAAAATAAAATGCTTTTGGTCACCATTCATGTTCATTTATTTTAGATTTTTGTTTATTTGTTTTTGAGCCTAGTAAAACATTCCTTTTGAAATATGTGTTTTGACATTTGGATTTCTATATAAATGGATACTTGTTCTTGAGCACAAGACAATAGCAAAAGGACCCATTGATATTTAATGTAACTTTGGGAAGTTCATTTGTGACATGTTTAAAGGCAGGACATCCACATGGTTCTTTCATGGAAAGAGCGTCCCGTTAAAGAAAGATCCAAAGCAGATGTGATCTTTCTTTTCATGACTTCACTTAAATGACATTAATGAGATCCAAATGGTCTGTGGCTGTCTGTATTAGCACTTAATTGTTTTCTATCCATTTTCTTCACCACTGTAGGTGTTTCAAGTTACCCCTCCTGACCACGCACCTCCCCACCAAGAAACAGAACTTCCTTCACAGCTCACTTGTCTTTTCTCTACCTCTTTTTCATGCCATGTCAGCTCTTTATTATGAAGATAATTCCTTTTCTCTGATGTGGATCTTTCTTTCTCTCTAGAACGGAAGAGCTGCGGAGAAATATCTGACCACCATAAAGCTCTTCCATTTGTGGGGAGTAGGGCTGGCTATGAATTTTGCTTATTCATAATTATTAATTATGTGCCGTCACACATTATATATTAAAAATAGCTCAACATTTCTATTTCATTAATATTCTATTTCATTGATTTCCTTTAACCAATGTCCACTGGAGACAATTTCTTAGGCAAATATAGGTCTGTTCTCCCCATAATGACTTCTAGAAACTTGTTAACTGTGCTCTTAGCAGCCTCTTTCCATCACTCTTATGAACTGTCCTGCTATAATCTCAGGAGCGTCTTGACCGTTCCTTCCTCCTTCCTATGGGGGGCAGGTAATTCGATGAAGATTGGAGGGTATGGAGTATGCCCAGGGATGACTGGAAGGGTGATATTATGAGATTTTGGATCATGTGTTGGTAGGGACAACTCAGAGAAAAGGGCAGGGCATGTGTTGTAGTAAAATTAGCAAAAGGTTTGGCCACGAAATGAATAGTCACAGCATAGGAGCAAAAATGAACGTAAATCTCTGGAGATAAGCATGAAAAGGAAATTGGGCTTGAAAATAAAACAAGGAATAGGGGAGAATCAGGGAATTAGCTTACAACTGCCTTAAGATCTCCTCCTTTGGCCAGGTGTGGTGGCTCATGCCTGTAATCCCAGCACTAGGGAGGCTGAGATGGGCCGATCGCCTGAGCTCGTAGGTTAAAGACCAGCCTGAGCAAGAGTGAGACCCTGTCTCTAAAAATAACTGGGTGCCCGTAGTCCTAGCTACTTGGGAGGCTGAAGCAGGAGAATTGCTTAAGCCCAAGAGTTTGATGCCACAGCACTCTACTGGGGGTGACATAGTGAGACTCTGTCTCAAAAAAAAATCTCTTTTAACTCCATCAAATGAAAGGTAAGCTTTTCCTCTTCCTCGCTTGTATGGAGACCTGCTCTTCTATGCTCCTCAAGTTTGCTAAACCCGTTGACAGCACTAAGAATCCCTCGTAATCGTTGGCAATGACCATCAGTGGAACTATCCAGAAGAAAAACGGTCCTGCCAGCTACTCCCCCTCCCCCACTGTTTCATTTCTATCACATTATCAAGAGATCAGAGTTGTGATGGCAGAATATATCTCTGGTGAAAAAATCTCATCAAAGAGACATGACAAAAACAGAAAACATTAAACAATGATTGCTCCGTCAGTTCCTGTCAGGTAAAACCCCGCAATGCCTCACCTTTATGTACAGGGGCTCCCTCAGATGATCAACAAGAAGGCAAGCCGTCTCGTCCCACACAGGGTTGAGGTTCTTGTGTATTATTTTACTTCTAAAAACTTCTTTTCCTCCAATTTTAAACTTCACGTATGGATCACTTGTCCCTGTTAAAGAGATACGGATTGAACCATGTTAATTGTGCCTTTCTATAGAAGCAAAAGAATCACTCGTCGAATTCTCAGGAAGTATTTTAAGGAAGAAAAGTTAAATGAAACTCACCATGTGGGAAAATAAGGGTTAAATGATTTTCCTAAAATTTTTTTAATAGATTGAGGTGATAGTATATTATTATTATTATTTTACCATCTGATCTTAATCCTGTAACCTTGCCCTGGTACTTAAAAGTGCTCTATTGTATGCTGAATATGTACATTTAATTCAACTTATAAATCACAGAGATTAATCTGATTATACCATTTCTCTTGGTATGATCCGTAGCTATAAGGAGGATGTTCAATGATCTTAGCTGATTTATCTAGCTTTAAAGACATATTTGCTGCTAAAATTTTAAACTAGTCCAATGGGGTCAGGGAAAGCTGAGTCTCAAAGTGGGATTCATTTCATCTTTGGTCCCATGTTCTCTCAATTTTACAATGTTAAGAAGGGCTGGAGGGTTCAGAGGAAGGAGCAGGAGGGAGGGGACAGATGTTTATGAAATTAACTGGATACTTTGTATTATCCCTTGATCCTTCTTAACCTCCCTGGGATGACAAAGGAACTCAGAGTTGTCTAAAGTTGTTCATGGATACCCAGCTAGCAAGATTTGGAGTTCAGATTCCAGATAAGGGTAATGACTCTGACGCCTGCATGCTTCCTGCTGCGCCTGGAGGGCAGAGCCTCACACACTAACTTACACGTTACCCCATTTCTCATTTTTGCACAAGACGGAGCAATGAGACCAATCCTGACCTAAGGAGTCTCTGGTATAGTATGGAATTCCTAGAGTAAGTGAATTAGCGATATTCCCAAGTAATCTCCATCACAAGGAAATAATTTTTTGTGTGTTTGTTTGTTTGAGACAGAGTCTCAAGCTGTCGCACTGTGTAGGGTGCCGTGGCATCACAGCTCATCTCCAACTCCTGGCTCAAGCGATTCTCTTGCCTCAGCCTCCCGAGTAGGTGGGACTACAGGTGCCCGCCACAATGCCCGGCTATTTTTTGGTTGCAGCTGTCATTGTTGTTTGGTGGGTCTGGGCTGGATTCAAACCCGCCAGCTCAGGTGTATGTGGCCGGCGCCTTAGCGCTTGACCCACAGGCGCCGAGCCACAGGAAATCATTTTTATATGTGGTCTGACTGCCTTATGATAAAGTTTGACTTTATGCTTTCTGTTTTGTCCACATTAAAGCTACTATTGATAATGAAATAAAACTGTGAGGGGGCTCTGCAAACTGTAAAGAGCTATGCAAACGTTACACACAACAACTGAGAAGCTGCCGGCCTGAACCTCCAGCGTGCTGTGTCTGTCCGTCATGCCCCATTCACCGCCATGCCTCAGGGTCCCGGTGGGGCCCAGGGCTGCCTCGTGGGATTTCTCTTTACTTATTTGATCATCAGGGGTGGGAGGACCCTCTTAAAACTCTCCATAATGCTCTCACCCCTGCAAAAATACAATGCCTTGGTTTATTTTTGATGCCTAGACCTGGGTACAGTAAAATAATGATCCTAATTTCTTAGTGTGTAACTTTATTTCATTTGACAGTTTGATTTTATTATAAAAGTACAAACTTTAAAAATACTTACAAATGTAAATGCAGACTGTTACCTGTAGCCTCTTTATAATGTCCTCCTTAGGGAAGTCAATGTAGCCAAAAGAATTCACGGTTCAAAATGGCTATTTCAACGTAATGGCTCCTAACTGTGGGCTGAGGACCTGGGGTCAGGGTAATGCCACATGTATTTTGAGAGATACTAGGACCCATGTACTAATTTGAATTTTCTCATTCCTTTCCTAGATAAACTACTGTCATTGGTTTCCAAAATCATCTATGTAACCATACTACCTGTTAAGACATAATAAGTACCACAAGATCTAAGCCACTTGGATCACCTTTTTTATATCTACAGCACTTATTTATAGAACACTGCATGTTGTAGGTCCTCAATATACAGCCGATGAACAGGTGAATATATAAACAACTTAGTGGCTTAGTAGTGGGGGTCCTGGGTAAGGAGATAGTCCGTAAAACTGATTAATGAAAATAAAAGAAAATTTATAAATCTCTGCTCCAAGCAAGTTTCCACAGCTAAATATTTCCAGGGTTCCCAGGCATAGCTTCATGAGTTTTGAAGCTCCCCTCTCTTGAGCAGAGACAATAAAACCCTTTCCCCCACAATTACATCTGATGCTGAGAACAAGGAAAGGCCTCTGGGTCTCTAAAACAGAGTCTCAGAGAACTTGTACTAAATCTCTTATTCTCTTCTTGCAGAATCACTGTTTAGGCAAAATTTTAATAATTTTTAGTATAAAACATATTAGATGATTAGGTGACAAGGTGAGCCAGCAAGAGGGCATTAACAAACAAAAATCTGAGATTAAGGAAGAATTTTAAAATTTGAAGTTATAAGATTTTTTAAAAATAATTCTTCTTTTTAGAGTACTTAGGGAATCAGAATAAATAGTTCCAAGAGCAACTTCAGACTTATAGGAGACAAGTGGTAGCAAAACTGAAATGGACCTTCAAGGATAAAATCAGCATGGTGTGAGTGCAAGAAGGAATAGTTTGAAGGGACCAGATTCCTGAGATGCCTCAAAAAATGGCTAAAGGGAACATTCAATTTGGTAGAGGTTACAACCCCCCTGCTCCCGCCCCCCACGATGGAGAATAGATGAACTGGTAAAGTAGACGGTTCTAAGAAACTTGACTGATTATATGGATGGAAGTGAAGCCAGGTCCCCACCTTGAGCAAAGGTATCCTGACCACTCAGATAGCAACCTATGAACCATGATTCTGCAAAGCCAATAGAATACATAGGATTCAAAATAGAGGGAACAATTTCTTCAATAAGCAAAAACTTAACAGCACAAAACATAATACACAGACACAGAGAAAAAGATAGAAAGAGAAAGGGAGAGATATCTGTATACAGCTAAGAATTTCTATTAAACTGAGGATGCTATAGAAAAGTTAAGTCAACAGATGCCACTCTGGAAATATTTTCAGTGCCTGAACAGACAGGAGATTAATATTTTGAACATCTATGAACTTCTGAAAATCAGTAAGAAAAAGACAGGATATCCAACATGGAAATGGTTAGATTTCATGAGAAGTTGATTCATAAGTAACAAACAACAGACAAGTTTATTAAAGAAGTTATCAAAAACACCAGTAATCAGAAAAATGCAAATAACTAAAATGACCAGTTCACAGATCAGAAGCAAAAAAATTAGAGAGTCAGATGTTGTAAACCTGTATGTTATTAAGGAGCTAAGGAAATTTTACCCCGAAGTTTAACTACTTGGGATAAAGAATATTTTAAGTTAAAAGGCCATTTTTGATCAGAAAGCACTGGCCTCTCCTCTATAAAACCTGAGTAAGCTGATTTAGAATCAGAAAAGGCCGAACTTCCTTATTGCACATGACTAGACCTGACCCTAAGGTCATTTGAAGCTCCAGATCTATCTTTCAGATTAATCTACAATTCAATCTGTTTCCACCCATCCACACATTCCTCCTAGCAACCACTCGTTCCTTGTATACGTTCCACACTCACCCCACTCCCGTCTAAAAGCCACCTATAGAGGTCTTTGACCATCACTGGGACATTGGTAATCATTCTTGCGTTTCCCCCCATGCACATGGTTTTTGGAAATAAACCTTTCTCTTATTAATCTACCATAGTTTTGAGTTGATCTTTCAGTGAGCCAACCAAAGGGAAAAGGGCAGGTTTTGCCATGATCCTTACAGTTTGAGGGAGTTGGCAGGATCTCAAAGCCAGCTTGCTCTCCTGAAAGTGGTGGGAGGAGGCTTGGAACCCTGACCCCAGATGGCACATGGTGAGATATTTTACTTAAACCATTTGGGCTCCTAGTCTTCCTCTCTGTCAGCTCTGGCTGAGTAGATGGTAAAAGATCTTTTATTCTTTCTATATTTAAGATTAATAAGAGAATTGTTTTTGTTGGTGAATAGTCTTGTAAGTGATTCTGGTATTGATACATTTTTAGGTACTTTGTGGTGCATCAATATACATATTGTTTGATTCCATCTCCTCTTGGAAACAGCTTTAATTATTATTGCTGTTATCGCTTGTTTTTTTTGTTTGTTTGTTTTGTTGCTTGTTTTTCTGTGTCTTTTTGTCTAAGGAGGGTTACCTAGGGCAGAACTTGGGCCTAGCCCCTCCCACCAGCCTGAAGTTCAAACCAGCCCTGCATGAAGCCTGTGCCTGGTCCCCCAGCCTTCCTTGCAGCTGGTGTTCACTTTGCACTCCTCATGTTCCAAGCACGGTAGCTGTGCAGCAAATGGACCTGAAACTCAGTGTTGGGAAATAGCTATTTTATTAGTATTATGTCCAGTGGTTCTATGGTACAGGAATACAGAAGGGTGTGGGAAAATGGCCTGTCTCTCCTCCAAGAGGTCTGGGGCCTTGGGGGGGAAGGCTCACATGGCTAGGAATTGGAATCCTCAGAATGTGCTTGTATGCTGGCTGGAGCTGGCCTTCCAGCTGGGCTGTTGGCAAACTAACTACACATACCCTCTCAACATGGTCTTCCTGTGTAGGCTAGTTTGGCTTCCTCACAGCATGGCAGCTGAATTTCAAGCTCAAGAATTGCAAGGTGGCAGGGTGCACAAGCACGGCATTTTAATGATCAGTACACTTTATTCAGCACTTTATTTACGAAGACTTGTTTAGGTATAAGAGACAGACATAAAAACCTACCACTTAATATAAAGAATATGAAAATTACCTTAAAAAGAACATATGGGATGGGAAATATTGTTGCAACCATTCTTTGAGAAACCAAAGTTGTCCCTCAGTTATGGAAGAGATCCATGTGAGGAAGGAATGGTGGGAGAAGACGCTGGGCAGAGACAGTGACTTTGAGAAGTGATGCTCCAGGTTCCTCCACGCAGAGCAGGACAGGGACCCCCCACTCCCACTGTCTAG